TGCAATATCAGTGATATTTTCTACTTGTTTTGAAGGCAGATTGCAAGGTTTACCAGAAGCAGATGCATACTCTTCAGAATCATGAGCACTTCCAGCTTTGGGAGCCGGCTTCGGTTTTTTGCTACCACCCATCGAGTTTGCAAGTATGGTATGCAGTAAAGCTAGCTAAATTAGATCCTGGAGACAGGTGTATGCCTAGCTGCAGTGTGTGAGGCTTGAACGGCAATTTGATTAGATTGTTACCTAACAATGCAATTCCAGGAGCGATGCTCAAACACGTCCGTTCATCACGACGACTATTTAGTTAAGGATAATCTTGTGAAATATAGTCCTTTTGTTAGTTAATTATTACATTAAAATCAGATTTTTAGAATTTGTATTAAATTCAAATTTCAAAAAAAAAAAAGAATGTTGATATTATGTAAGTTACGGTGTCCAACCCTTTGGGTATAGAAATTATGCTTCTTCTATATTTTTTTTTTACAGATTAAGCTTTAAAAAGTTTAAAGAACATTAATTGATGAAATGTATAACTATCTCAATGTTGTTAAAGTAAAAGTTGAATATTAACATAAAGATAGGACACCTTGTGAGTGCGTTGAAGGCTTTGTGTGACAAATGTACAAGTGAAGCTATCTTCCCAATGCTTTTTTCTAAAGAGGTATGTTTTACTCTAATAAATAAATAAAAAATTTAGTCTATATGTCATACTCTGTTAATGGGCACCATGACCCAGTATCATGTCCTTACACATATATAAATACACATACACAGCTATAGATGTGAGGGTGTAATTTGTACATGCCATCTGTTTAACTAATTATAGATAAGTTATGTTATAGCACTACCATGATATCCTTCCACCACAGATCTAGTGCAAACTATATTTGTTATACAGTATTTTGTAAACTCGATTTATTGCCATATTTCATTTATGATAATATTGATAATACTTAATTATTAATTATTTAAATTTATAACGTTTGATTTACTATTATCACGCTGAGCGGATTAATTCCTTTTACGAACTGCGTCGGAGAATGCTAGGGTTTGGTATGCTTGCCCTTTTTCTCTCTCTCTCTGGACCAGTTAAACTGTCAAGACGTGATATGTTAATTGTCTGATGTTCATTGCTTTAGATAGTGTTATTTTAATCGTTTTACCATTGTAGAGTGCATTGCTTGTAATGCAGATGTAAACTGTCATGTTTCTGTCTCGTTGTAACAATAGCTGGAGTGTTGTGTTGGGTTTCACCTTCTTTTATGGTGGTGAAACATTGATTTGATGTTAGGTTTATAAATAAACACAATCGTGACAATAATTGGATTTCTGTCTCCAGGTGCCTTATATGTGTTTTATGAGTTTGCTCTCCCACTCTCTATTTCGTACTCAATAACAACGGACACGTTCCGAAGGTCACATATACATACATTTACAAGGTATTGTATATAACATTTTTCTATGTGAATTTTACCCTCTTTTCCTTTTTATATTTTTAAGATGTTTATTGAAGTTTTTATTTTATTTTTGTGTGGTATTTTTCCTGTTTGTCTAATTTTTTTATTCGATTTATATTGTTAAGCTTCAATTTGTTTACAAATTGCAATTAAGATTACTTTGAATTGAACTGAATAACAATCAAACTCAGCTGAGCAAAACCTGGGGACATGTTAACAACACCAAAGGACATGCAAGGAAGACATGCACTTGCCCACAAGATGTCTGATGACTCAAAAAACCTTATCACATCCTACTGTCAGCCATTATCGGCATGAACATGCACCACTGATATTTGGGTACACTTAGTGACAGACGTCGGGACTTATGTAGATCATTTGCCAAAAGCCTCTGTAAGACTCCTCTAAATTACAAGCTTTGTTAACTTACAACCCTTCTCCCTATAATACTAGAAACAAAAACATTTATGTTGAAACGTTTTGTAATTCCAAACGTCACTATTGTTGTCCTTTTCATTATTTAATTAGAATGTTAAATGATTAGAAATTCACTGACAACCGAGTGGACAAATTTGCAGCAACTCAATCACAATGCAACGAAAAACGAATTCAAGAAATTAGAAAAACAATCAAAAATTGTGGAACTAATGAAACACAGAATCCAAGCATGAAACTATTAAAAGCAACGCAACATGAAACGCAAATAATGCTGGATGTATCCAAATACATATCCAAGAAGACCAACCTGGAAGAGCATCATGTGGATGTTCTTGATGTGTTTTTCTTGATTGTAAATTTAAAACTCAATTCAGCTCTTTTGCTGTGATGTTTTAATTGTATTTGTGTTGAACTTTCAAAATAAATACCATACAATAACAACTAAGAGAATATCTTCCACCAGAATCTAAAAATATGTGATATGTTTAGTGACTTAGGAAGAAGCAATTGTTTGGGGACGAGAAACATATAAACACATTGTCAGAAATACATTAGCTTTGCTAAGCTAGGTGGAGAAGAATGCGAGTCTTGCTTACAATTTGAAAAATATAAGGAAAACATAAGACACACAGATGATTCAGAATGCACCGTATGCTCAGAATGGGAATGCCACAAAGACCGAGCAAATATTGCATGAAGATGGTACCAATTAGAAAAAGAGTGAGTGAGACTTGAAAATGAGGCTGTTTGCTCCATCGATACGCAAAAGGTAATAAATGCTGCCAAGTATCTCCAGGGTCAAAAGCTGCGTATTCACCAGACGACTTGTGCCAATTCCACATGACAATTGCACCAATAGGCGGAGAAAATGTAAGAACGACCCTATCATTGGTGTTGTTTGGACAGAAGCCATGACTGGACGGAATTCTGAAGACGTTGAGAGTATATGAATAGTACTACATTCAGAGACAAAAAAAAAATCATTTTTAATGTGTCAAGGCACATCGGACAAATACACAAGGTATCACACAATCATTTTATATGGATAATTGTAGTGCACAAAGCAAGAAAAAGACTTTGTATACTGAGATGGTTGCCAAAGCTAACAAGCTTGGAGACCCAGAGGAAATCATTTTCAGGCACCTTGAACCAGGCCACACCTTTATGTCTGCCGATTCATTTCATGCCCAAGTCAAGATTTTGTATCAGTCGTCAATGTAAAAGAATCTGCATTACCAATGGAAACATCTGAATTTTTGCTTTATAAAAATGGTCTCAGCATGGCAAATACACCAACAAGCCTTTGTATTGTAGTGCGATAAGCAGGAAGTTAATGATAATTAATGTTAATAGTAATCAGTAAAATGCATTCAACAACATTATGAGTATTACAGACAAATGTATGACTTTGTTGGCCATTTGAAATGATAAAAATTATTAACAATTTTAAAATGCTCCTGCTATGCAATGTTCTCTGTAAATAGTTAGCTTAAAGTGAGAATATGTTTTTATTATGATATTTGTAAATACATTTGTCAGAAAACCACAACTTCCTATGTTTGCTTCTTTTTGTATGGTAATTTGTAAAGTCACTAGTGAAAAAACCACCAGAAAAATAAGTACTTGACATAAGAATGTTACCAGATGTAAATTGGGATGAATTTAAAAAAAAGCAGCAAACTAATGACAGCTTGAGTGCAATTAGAGTATGCAAGTCAAAAATAGTGTCTAAATAACAGCAGATGCAGTCCATGGTTGAAACAATTAGATAATGTTGATTTTGCAGAGGACACTCCCAATGGAAACACACACTTCATGGAGCAACCATGGCAACCACTGATCTAGAATCAAACCAAAATGTCTATCTTACTCATCATTTACTCATCTTAGCTCCACACATGTGATTGCTATAAGCATGACCTGACATGGACTTACCATGCAATCAAGGTCAAGTGGATGTCACAAATCTGCAAACCACTAATTACAGTACATGTCAAGATGATCAGAGGTACTGGTATAGGTATTTATAATGCACCTCTTTTTGGTTATGAAGTGCAGTTCTTTTCCCTGGTCATTGGGTCCACATGCTAAGTGTTGCTGCAGGTTCCCATTTATACTCCTGGGTAGAGAGAAGCAATGCAGATAAAGTGCCTTGCTCAAGGGCACAAGCAAAATGCACAGCCAGGGATTGAAACCCTGACCTCGAGGTTGGAAACCAAACCATTCCTGCTGCGCCAGACTATTTCCACACGCATACGCATCTTCCATACACACTTTGACAATGATTATCTGGGATGATGTTTGTAATGTGTTACAATGACGATGAAGAATGTTCTAATCAGCTCTTGAACAAACTCAGATATTCTTCCACCAACTTAGTTTAATTGGCCAAAGTAAGTTTATTAATTGTTTATAATTTAGATAGTATGATTAATATGCTCAAAGGGACAATCAGAGTTGGTGGTCAGCTTGGTGGTAGACTATGCAAGTTTGAGAATAACGATTCAAAACCACATCCAATTGTACTGGATCCTTCATATCACATTACCAAGCTGTTGATAAGGAAGGTACAGTAGACAGCTCTGAATTTAGTCATCAGGCAGGACACAAACTAATATTTGCAAAATTACGCCGTAGGTATTGACACTCAAAGGTCGAAGTATGGTAAAATCAATGATAAGAAAGTGTACAGAATGGCGAAGAAGGCAGACGTACCAGTAATGGCCAATTTACCCAATAGTAAGATAGCAAATTGGAAAGCCGGCTTTTTACTTGAGGAGTTGACTGCTTTGGACCAATGAATATTAAAGTAAGGTGGAGCACTGAGAAACGCTGGGGAGTTTAAATGCATGACTACATGGTCAGTACACCTAACAGTCATTGATAGTATTAACACAGACTCATTTCTCATGGAGATTTTTTGCCCGACGAGGAAAACCAAAGGAACTGTACTCTGACTGTTGTACAAATATAGGAGGAGCTAAACAGAGCTATGTAAATCATTCAAAGCTATGAGTGATTTATTTATTTATTGCACATCCAACAGTGTATACACCAATTACAGGATGAAAATATAAAATATAAAAACTTACACAATATCAATGGAAAACCTAAAGTTATTTTACAGACTCAAATGTGATAGATTTAAACTGAGAGAAACTACAATGAAAAATATCAAATTCAGGATAATTACAAACACAATTATTATAGAACGAAGACAGTCTACCAAAAATACCATTTTTACAAACATTAACACGTGAGAATTGTACATTTAAAATAGGCTTAGAACGAAGTCTACGAACAGGGACATTAAGATAGAAATTAGAAACAATATTACAGGTAAACCTTGAATTTAAACACTTATGATGACTTAAGACAGAAGCTTGCAAATCACAAGTTTTGATGGCCCTGTTTAATTTCTAGTATTTTATATGTAATTTTATGTTACTTTCATTATATTATTGTTCTTTCAATAACATTTTTTTTTCCTACTTGTATGTAATTAGTTTTAAGAGTAGACTTAGAGATGCTTGTCAGAAAACTAGTGATAATTCGAAAGATACACAGGGCAAGATGAAATCTGTGTTTGACAGGAATGCTAGGAATAGAAACTTAAATACAGGAGATAAGGTGTTTGTACTATCCCTATCCCCAACCAACCATTCCAAGTTTCTAGGTCCGTACGTAGTTAAGGAAAAACTTACCGATATGAACTACACCATAGCAACCCCAGGGAGAAGGAAGAGCACACAATTGTGCCACATTAATAATGTATGTTAAAAGCATATCATGAACAAAATAATACTCTAGGTTAAATTATGGCTAATGTTTCTAAAAATTATGAAGTAACAAATGAGATCACTAATGAAGATAATGGTGGTGGTGTAAGACAGTAATGGTGATTGTGGGGCAAAATTGCACAATTCAAATGTTATTGATAACTTAGATGAACCTAACCGACATTGTAACGAACTGTGCTAAGTTATAATTTTGTTTGATGTTAATGAGTTTAGTTAAGGCACCCTCTGACGCCTTGTTGTTAGGGTACCATATTTCTACGAAGAACTAGGCCTATTACCAATTGATGCATAAATGATGTAAGTAATTATATCTTTAATTAGTTATTATTCAATTAACCATATGCTTCAGTCTAATTATTATTTTTAGAATCACCTGATAGTACTGTGGTAACAATATGATGTTTAGTAGTATACAGTACTGACCAGCTAGAAGTTACGGTAGGCCTAGGCTATGGCACCCGTACTGGTGTAGTGATGTAGCGGTGCCTGTATGCGTTCGCTATGTATAATGTAGATACCGTGCAGCGTAATCTGCTGCGCTGTGATTGTGATTTCACCTTTATTCTAATTATAGTTTTCATAATGTTTTGAGGTTATGATGTTAATGATATAATGTTATACGTTACTATTTTAGAGATAAACATCATCATCGATTAAGGAGATATCCAATGCCATTTACCAAGGCAGCATACAACCACTCCAACCATTATTATTTGTTATATATAAATAACAGTAATGATGATAACCCTTTAGATTCATCCTCTTCTGGGGTAAGTGCCACTGCTAGTGGCACTTGATTTACTATTACAAGAATTGCTTCCAATGCACAGTAGGTAAAACAAGTACCTACTATTCCCACTTTATGATTTGTGAAAAACTAACTATACTGGCAGAGATTCAGAACTTGTGAAACTTATGAGCAATGCAGTTCTCAGTAAAATCTGCTCAGAAGTTAGGTTGGATGCACAATTTGGTATCATTGTAGACGGCACCCAGGATGTCTCTGGTCACAACAGGAACCAATTTTTGCTCAGTATGCAGATTCACATTTCACATCCGAGGAGTTCTGGGGTCTGTATGAAGTCAACACTACATCAGGAAAGGCGCTAAGTATTATGCTGAAGGATGTGCTTGTCGGACTTAACTGCCAGTAGAGAATTTATGAGCAGACATATGAGGCAAGTAATATCACTGATCGTTACAAGGGATGTCAGGCAGAAGTTGAAAAGATCCAGCTGCTTGCTTGCTACAATCATTGCGGCGCAGACGTTACACATCTTGTAACATCTTATTCCATTCAGAATGCACCTTTCTTCGGGGATGCTTTGGCGTTGGTTAAAGAACTTTGCAACTTTTTCAAAGCATCCGGAAAGCTTAAAAATGTGTGTCAAAATCTGCATTCAGATAACCAGACAGGACAAGCCCCATCAAGGATAAAACCAATCTGTCCAACACGGTGACTAACACAAGGTGATGCTGTCAAGTCGGTCCTCACGAACTATGCTGACATATTAGACACGCTTCAACAAGCATAAGCCGAGTTGCGATTACCACTGCATCACAGGCAAAGTCTTTGTAAAGGATTGCTATCGGGGAAATGCATGCTTTTAGCATTGACTAGTATCATTGATTGTCTCAAACACTTGAATCGTGGCATCCAGACGTGCAATGACTGTAAGCAGTATGCTTGAAGCCGTGAAAATAACCCAGGAAACATTCCAAAGATTCAAAGGAGTAAAGAGCACTTTCAAAAAATATTCACTGATGCCGAGAGCAAAACTCAAGAGCTTAAACTTGATTCTATATTATTTAGAAAACAACAGATACCAATAAGATTCAGAGAGGGCAGTGAGGGCTGAGGTGGGTGTGGACTCACGACTGTAACCCCACCTTTCAAAACAGATCTTGCAAAGGATGAAAAATCACTTGGCCTTGAGTTGGTAGAGTCGAAGTCTTGGGTTCTAATCCCGATGGGGATATACATTTTTCTCAAATTATTTATTATCATTCTACAAGCTGTATTTTGATATATGATGGTTTATTAGAAAACAGTAAATTTCATATAATCTCATAATTTTAGTTTTTTTCATATTTTGTTAATGGCCAAAAAAATAATTTTTACCTACAGGTATGTTTAAATATATTATTTAATTACAAAACGTTAACTTTCTACAAAAATAACCATCTGCAGGTGGTATAACAAAAACAAATAGTCAATATCAAAACACACACACATGTGTGTATATATATAAAAACCAAGATATGAGCCAAGCTGATATTTTCCAATTGAGAGCAAGATATTATCAGGGTACCACACAATTAATAGATAATAATCTAATTTAGATTTGGTATGAAGTAATCCATACATTAGGATGATTAAAAGAGATATTTTTTAATTTAAAAAAAATATAAATATGATTTATATAGTGCACATCCACTCTATAAATGCTCAGGTTCTTGAGGTAAAACCTTTACTAGATAATATATCACAAAACCAAAATTTGTCATATTGATGATCATGATCAAGTTACTAGATTCATATAAATGTAGGTTCTTACACAGATCCACATGGGTCCCATGTTGGAAGAAATACCTACTAACATATCTTAACAAATTTGCTGTAATACTCATTGGCAATGCCTTCCGGGAGAAAATTGATAATAGAGTACTGATATAGTAAAACCACAAAAATGTCGCAAAATAATTTATGGACAATGGGATATTTTCCAGAACACTCTTGCTTACTCATGGGAGTGGGGAGGCCTTCCGGAATTTAGGGAGGTTTCTGCGACTTGAAGGAGACTTGGGAACCTTGCATCAATTTGCCCTACAGTACTGTACTTGGGTATTTATGCAACAATCTCCCTTCCCTTGAGACAATGCATTTGTCTAGTATTCCCTCAAAAGAGACTCTGCTCTCTCAGCAACCTTAAGTCTGTTTTCCACTAGGCAAATTTATTCGCACGAATAGAAGGCGTCGGTTCAGTTCTAGAGCTTTGATTGGTTGCACACATTTTTCGCTTCACAAAAAGTAGAACTACTACTTCGACCTACCAATTTCATGATAGAAATGCGCATGAACGACGTTTTCGATTTGCGCGAATAAATTCGCCTAGTGGAAAACCGGCCTTAGAATATCATCTCCCATTCCCTAGGAATCATGAAATCATCTACATTTCTTGGGGTCTATGTAACAATCTCCCCCCTTTACTAGGGACTATACAGCACCATCCAGTTCCATCCAATCTCCATTTTCATCTTCCCTCATTGCTGGACCAACATCAACATTACCACATACTACCAACTGTACAAATATATGTGCCATCATCTATCCACTGTAAGCCTGGTTGGAAAATAGGCAGACAAAATCGTACCAACCCACTCGTCTACAAAATGTGTCCGAGGTCCGTTTGTTATCATGATTCTGTGTTGCTGTCTTATTTAATGAAGCGTTACCGCAGGGGTTTAATCTGTTGAGAATATAAAAATAAATTATCTGTGATCTGTAGTACTGCTACTGGTATTTAGTAATAGTACTGGTGCAGAAAATAATAGAATGATGCTGAACTGAGCATTTGGCCATGGCGTAAGGGTTCAAGATCTAGATGGGAAATTGATATTTCAGTGTGAGTTCTAGGCTCAGGTCCTCCTGTATAATTACGCAAACTTACATGGTCAATGTAAATTATTGCTGATTGCTCAACAAATTCTTCTAACTTCATAATTGATCCTCGGTCTTTCCCCAAATATATTGCCTGGAATTAAAACAAAATGTTATCAAAATGCTGACATAAACAAATGTATATTACACTCAGGCTCACCATAATTGGTACTGAGGTACAAAATTTATACCAACAGCAAGTTACTTTAGGCGGATCTGGGTCACCCCTTTGAACCTGCCTATAACTACAAATAAAACAATCTATATTACTGAAGCATCATCTTGGTGAAAGATTCACTCTCAGATAATAATTTAGAAAATGTTATACGAGAGTATTATTTTATGTCTTTTCTATTATGATTTTCTTTTTAAATAGCAACACTGTGGACTACCTCCTATATATATTTATATACACCATTCTCAATAATGATATTTTAATCATAATTAAATTAATCAATGACATGCCTTTTTTTTATTTTTTTTTATTTGTATATAATACCTTAATTGATATTGTTATTGCTTCTTGTTTTTATGATAGAAATGATTACTTGATGACATAAGTTCTATTTGTATTTCATGTAAAGGCCACATAAAATGAAAAGGAAAAACAGAAAGGCATTATCAAAATTTATCAGGTTGTATTCATGAATACATTGTAAAGCAACAGAAAGGTGTATCATAAAACTTACCTCATTCATGGCCTTTCCTAATTCATCGGAACTCAACATAGATCCTGCTTCTAACATACTAATTAAAAGTTTAAAAAATAGAAATACTGTTTGTGAACAATAATTATAAAGTTTTAATATTTATAAGTTTACACATGTGGCAAAGACAAACCAAACCAGTCACCCGTCGCAAAATCTTGTTTCAGATATAATGGCCAAAACATGCTGAAATGTCAACATTTTTAAATCTATTTCATTGCACTAAATTAACCATCCATACATGATGATAAGCTGTTATTTTCCCCATTTTCAATGTTAAAACAACAATTTGTAACAATTTGGTGATGGTTCTGCCTGAAAAATGCCCAAAATCATAAACTTTGAAGGCTGATTTCTCAAGTATTGTTCTTTAAACAGTTGTATGTTTACATGATTGAAAGTTCATAAGGAAATGTTGGATTTAAATGATTCTGTTAAGATTGTATAGCTCTCTTTTTTATCTTTAACCATGTATTTGCGATGAGTGACTTGTTTGACTGGTCTTTGCCACATGTTATCTCAATTTTGTTGATGACTTTTTCAGTCAGCAAAGTTTACATTTAAAAACGTTCAATAATAAACTAAACAAGGATATTACACACATTAGTCTTAAAGATCTAAAATAATACAAATATATTATATATGAAATCTGCAGCAATAACATACTGAGTTTGTGAAGCTGACGGTATTGCGAGTGAATCAGCTAGTTGTTTGAGAGCACTAGTGCAGAGATAGCGATTGACTGAGTTATTTCCACTTGCATCCATTACTTTATATAAATTTGTGGTTTCGTATATGTATTCTGTAAAAAAAAATATATATATAAATTAACTTTTCATAGACTGCACTATATAACATATATAACACAACCTATTAATTTTATTCAATATTTTAAGTAAATTTAGTTTGAAGATACAGAATAAAAAAAAAAATATTCAAATTTTGTCATATCCAGGAATTCATAAAATATTTAAAATGATATCTAGTGACAAACGATGATTATTAAAATAGTTAAAAACACAGTTGAAGGAAAACGATTAAAATATATTATAAATAGCGAATTGAAAATCATTTTTGAAAGATTTACATACATTTATTGGAAAATCATGCCAGTTTTTCAAAGTGATGTTCAATGTTGTTGCAAACAATGCTTGTAGTTGAATGTGATTTTTTAAAAATTATTTTTAAATTTTTCTATATTCACTTAATATCAGAAAACTGATTTAAAAAGCATTAAGGACATTGTGCTAATGGATTTTTTTAATGTGATGTAATGGAAATATTTTTATTCACTGAAAGATGTGCTATTCCATTTAACAATTGGCAGAGCCATGTTAAATGGAACAGGTTGTCTTAGCACTCATGAAAATATTCTTGCCACTGGAGTTGCCTCATAACATTCATTATTTGTATGCAGCTGGTGGTCACTTTACTAGAGCCGCAATCAATCCATACTGTAGGTTATGAACTTGTACTCCTAAGTGGATAAAGCCAAAGTAGACATAGTTCCTTGCTAAGGATATACTGTACTGTAAGTGGAAACTAAATCTTTCACTTTACCATGTTCGCTGCCAGGGACACAAGTTCACGTCCGACAGTCCGATGTCCCTAAGCTGTACATGTACAGAACTGTATTGATATTGTGAATTAGATACACATTCACTCACCAATGATAACAAAGCATGCAAGCACTCCAGAATAAAAGGTCTGAAAAGAGACTACTTCATAGTCACGGCAACATATCTTCTTCATCAATCTCTCTACTAGTGGACTTGGAATATCCCTAAAATGAGATGGTATTATTCATGTATTGATAAACTTCACAGTGCAGGAGGGAGAGGACATAAAGGGTTAGGACTTGAAGGGTTAACATACGTGGCAAAGACAAGCCAAACCAGTCACTTGTCACAAAAATCAATTAACAAGGTTAAACAGTAAAATGAGAGCTATAAAATGGTAAACAAATCATTTAAATCTGACATATTTCAAATCCTGTAATTTATGAAGTTACAGGATTTGAAACATACAGCTGTTTGAAAAACAATATTCGAGAAATCAGTCTTTAAAGATTATGATTTCAGACATTTCTCGGGCAGAGAAATTACCAAATTGTTAAAAATGGTAGTTTTAACATTGAAAATGGGGAAAATAACAGCATAGCATGATGTATAGATATATAAAGGTTAGTTTAGTGCAATAAATTAGGTTTAAAAAATGTTGACTTTCCAACATGTTTTGACATAATAATACCTCTAAAACAGGATTTGCGACAAGTGACTGGTTTGGCTTGTCTTTGCCACATATAAGGAAGTAAGGCATAGTGGCAACACAATTTAACTGATTTTAAGAGGGGGGGATTTAAATTTAAAAAATACTAAGATTGAATATATAAAAATTGTTTGGGAGCTTTAATTGTTAAACCCTTTTGTTAATAGAGACTTAATAGATAATGTTCCTGATGGGTGAAGGTGTAGGATCAACAGTGGACAGAATGCTGTGATAAGGGTTGCTTTTCTGCTAACCATATCGATATATCTTCATAAGTGTCCAAAAATGTGATAGAAATTATACATTAAATCATGACTGTGATGTTTTCTTCTTAATATTAAAGAACACTAAACTGAACCAGTTCCTAGAAATTTCTCTTTTGAAAAATAACTATATAACAAGTTTCCAATTTTAACTAGTAAATCTAGGCTTGTAGATTGTTTAAGCAGTCTGTTTACTTGATGAGTTATGTAATAAGACCAGGTAGTCGTAGTAGCTTCAATGAAGGATATAAATCATCACTTCATAATAATTATCAATGGTTGGAGTTGGAGTTGAATAGCTTGGTGGTTAAGATGTTTGTCTTCCAATCTCAGGGTCTTAAGTTCAATTCCTGTGACTTGGTTATTAAAGCATAACGGGCCCTGTCGAAGAACAGCAGATATCTACTAAAGGATTCCCAGTATAAAGGAAGAAAAAAAAAAAAATGACTTGGGGCTGCACGATGCAAGGCAAAATGTTTCTCAAATTTAATTGTTCCACATTCAATCAGATGACTTAATGAACTCATTTAGATTTTAGTGTTTTCCCAATTGAAACATTACTGGTAAATTTGTCCATAAAAAATCAGCAATGCGCGCAGTGCGAGGCGTTACCCCCTTTTAAGAGGGGTTTAACAACTTGAAGAAACAACAACACATAGGCCTACAGTATATTCATAGCCTGGCATAGGCCTAGACTGGAAATGATGTTAATTTATTGAAGGAGGGCCAGCCTAGACTACCTAGTCCTTAGTTTATTTTTTTTCAAACTCACAATTTGTATTGGTTGGCTGGTTATTTTTACCTGTAGCAAAATTGATGGCTAAAACAGCTTCAGAAGAACACTGTATTTAGAGAATTAATTTTAAAAATCTTTATACCAGCCTCAGGCAATTGTTAATGAACTTAAATTTCAGAAAGAAATAATAATATAAAAACTTTTTCTCAAACCACAATATAAGATCTTTATATATTCCTATGGAAAATTTACTCAAAATATACAGTAACTAATTTTATATTAACTGATTTACACAGAGTAAGAAAATGAAATGAATTTTTTTTTTTTTTTAAAGTTTAAAACGTACACAATATATCGGTATCATTGGTTTATGGGGAAGCTGTGGTAAGGAAAGTTAGTTGGGGGAATGGGAAGCTGGGGTAAAGCAAGTTAGTTGGGCAAATGGGGAAGCTGGGTAAGGCAAGTCAGGTAGGGGAAAATTCCAAAATCTCTTGTCTATAGCATCTGCTCAACAATTTAAGAAATTTGTGAGTTTCCGCAAATACATACTTGCAAATTAAATTCAGTAGATCATGAAAAGCAGAGCCATATAAACTCCTTCCTTTCTTCTGAGCTAAATTGAAGACAAAAAAGAAAGATGTAAAATGTATTTAAATATTTAACTATTATGGATTTCCACTACTATAGCATGAAGCTGCAGCCTATCTAATGGTTATCATTTTTCAATATTAATTCCTCATTACTGGGCTGGCTATTTACACAGAAGGTGCCAATGTGTGCAGCAGTGTACGGGAGATTGTGATAGAGCACTCCTGGCATCTGTGCTACATCCCATGCTATAAATTATGGTGAATTAGGGCGTCGTCACGATGCCCTACAACTACAAAGGGTTAAAACTAAAATCTGACAAACTAAAAAAAAAATAGATTTAAATTCTGACAGTGAATATATAGTATACATGCATTAACTCTCAAAAGTAGCATTAAAACATCTATATTCTGACACAGTAAAAATTGGAATATACTCATTTCAATGCTTAAATTACTATCAAAAGTTTGTAAAAAAAAGTGAGACTGTAGATTTATTTTAGTCTAAAGTTACAGTATGTACCTGAGCAGTAGCGTAACGATGGGGCCGGGGGCCCTGTGTATTTCTGAAACTGGGGGCCTTTTTGGGTCCCGTCACCAATTCAATCATGGGATTTTAGGTGTGCATTGTTATTCTAACTTTTATTAATGACGAATAAATGATATATTATGCATCCAGAAAATTAAGGCCAGGGAGGGACTTTCACAGTTGCAGTCTACTGTATACCACCTCAGACCCACAATGGTTGGGGCTGAGGTAAGAAAATTTATGAATATGGCACCTTTAGATGGCCGGAAATGGCACTTCACAGACAAAATTATTAATTTTCTTTTTATCTCCAGTTAAAAAATATTTTGACAAATTTAGTGGGGCCCAGGGCCGGCAGCTCCCCCTCCCCCAGACTCTTTATTCCACCACTGGATATAATATGATATGTCCTACAGTCGATTTCAGAGACACATAATGCCGTTGCCCTTGTGGGCCTGAGATAAGGAAATGTATTACTATGGCACGTCTAGATGGCTGGAAATGGCACTAACACCACTTCAAAAATTGTGAATATAATTTTCTTTTTATCTCCATTTAAAATTTTTTTTTTGTTGACAAATTTGGTGGGGTCCCGGGCCGGGAGGGGGACCAGTCGGGCCGACGGGCCCCTTCTCTTTAATCATTATAATATGATATATGCCCTACAGTCGATTTCAGAGACACATTATGGTTTTATTTATCAACAAAGTCCTTTTTGGTCAGGGTGCATAGGATCGAGGAACCCATGGGTAGGGCCTCTTCGGGGCCCCTAGAATTTGGGGGCCCTGCGGACCACCACAGGAGAGCGCATAAGCGTTACGCCACTGTACCTGAGCCTGAAAAAAGAATGTCATAAGCTGAAAGGGCATTGCTCTCAAATGTAACTTGGCTGTAGTGAGACAATGTTAACTCTTGATAGGCATATCTGATACGACTTGATTTGTTATCCAGGTTCTCGAAGCTGCAAGATAATAAAATCAATGATTACATTTTAGATTAAAAAACATTTCGGTATTACTTTGTTATGATACCATTCATTTGCAAGAACACTATGAGCCTGACTATCATAAAATGCCGATGTTTCCTAGAAAAGGATTTCAATTTGTTCGTACTCTCTTATCACACTCTATAATTTTACATTACATGTACCTTCATTCCTGATGATGACATAATTAATGTCGAAATATTGAATCCCAACACGATGGCGTGTATTTCAATACTTGGAGTATGTAATGTACCTTCTTTTATTAAAAAAAATTACAAAATGTTGTGTTGCCCAACACCAACCAATCAAAAAATGGTGTTTCAAACTTAGGGAACTTTTCAAGCTTTAATAAATTTTATAGATCTTGACAAAGGATTTTGATCTACAGTTATCACTTTTTGGGGTGAGTTTATGGATGGCAATAAACTCTAGAATTAGGCCTGGGACTAAGTTTACTGTGCTTGGGTAACATTTTTTGGTCTTCTGCAAAAATTGTTGTTGCAACAGAATTAAATTTACACAAAAATAGTTTGTTTGATTGTCCAGTAGAAGGTAGCGGTTTCTTTCATTTTCATCTTCAAGCTAAGGGACGGTCAGTTATGTTGAAGACTTTGGTAGCCATTATGTACTTTAAATTCAAATACAGATAACTTTGCAATTTCCAATATGGTGTTTCAAAATTCGAAAAAATGAAGACTAAAATAGGCCTACAGTGCATTTAAAAATACTGATAGTTGTGAAGATTTAAATGCTTACTAACAAATGACGATGCCAGAGATGCCTGTCTCCGACAGGGTTTTACGCCCACCTCAGTCGCACAGTGGTTGGGAGCGGGCAATTTTAAGAGTAGAATGCCACTCTCAGACTAAAAATATTTTAATTCTTTAATTTTTATTCTTATTAATTAATATTTTTTTCTAGGCAGTGCTTCCTGAAAAATAATTGGCTTCTTCCCTACCCAATGTCCACCAGATCTAATGCTGGTGTCACCAATTGTTACTTACTATTGAGCAAGGAAGCCTAAAGCATCATCTGGTTGGTTCTCTAGCAACTTAGTTAAAGCATTCCTCATTGACTTACTTGCACCACATTTATCTACAATGTAAAATATCAGAATATTTATTTAAAAAAAAAATAGGATGAAGGAATTGTTTTGCATTCTCATGAGCATAAACTTTATAATTTGTTTATACAAAAAAATGTACATTCAGTCAGATTAGCCATGAACTGTAAAATAAATTACATCATTCAATGCTAATCAAGTAACTCAGGATAATCACATTTACAACTGATATAAGAGCATTAATATCAGCTCAATATTATGTCAGCTTGTGTGAGACCCTTTTTAACCATCTACTATCTGCAAATTATGCATTTTTAATTACTATGAATCAAAGAGAAAGATTATAATATTATTTTTAATGAATAATAAATTTATATATAATCAAAAACGTGAAAAAAATAGCTTGTAGGTAAGCCGACACCTTTATTGAATTTTAGGGTAGATAGAGAGAGTGGAAATTGGATAGGAGGGGACGAAGTCGCAAGGCATTTACAAGGCTTTATGGACAATAAAAGAAATCTTAGAACATCAAAAATATTTTTATACTAATTTGCAAAAAATACACTATTTTTTCACACAAAATAATATGCAAAATACGAATTGCATGATTTGGTAATTATAATAATGGAATAATAGTTAATATTGTACTAAATTCTATATTCTTATATCACAGCCTAGCCTAGTCCAACACTTCCCTAAAAAAGCATAAGCGTCAACCCCTCACCTGTGACCTACCCACTCACTGCCTCCCAATCTATCCCCACAACACGATCCACGCTTATCCACATGACCCCGACAAGTCTACATTCCGATGATAAGCTCATCACACAGCTACCTATCAATCAATCAATTAAAATATGCACGAGCTAACCCGAAATGGTTAATTAATAATAAGTCAATATAACAGTATATATTTTTTTAACATGGTTTATTTAACGCTGGTATTGGGTGCCTAATAAAAGTTACAACAGATCTAGTACTTTGTTGTAGTACTTTCGTTATTTCATTTTATTCATTTATTGTTTTACTTTCGTTTATCAGGCCAATATCTGTCTCTTATACACATCTAGATGTGTATAAGAGACAGATATATATAAAGAAAGAAAACAGGAAACGGACTAGACTTTAAGAACACTATTTTATTAAAACATGAATATTTCGACCTGATCTCAGGTCCTCTTCAGCATGACTGATTAACATTACGAGAAAGTTGGAACAGTACAATAATATCTAATAGGCGATTGGTCAGATGTTCCAACTTTCAACCCCAAAACTCACACATTCGTCGGGAGAGCAGAGGTCCGCTCTAACCCCGAAAAGATAAATTATACTATAGTTTGTGCATCTGTCAAACTGGTTTATACGAAAGAAGACAGTCTTATCTGTTTGAATTCATCATAGATCCTTTAGTATCACCGGTCTGATTAATCGCTAACACTCCAGAACTGTTGGTTATGTTCTATCAAAAACTTATATGTATATGTATGTATAAAGCGTAATGATAAGTCCACGTGTGTTTCGTCGAAATACAACTCAAAAGTAAAGACAATAAGATTGACTTGGTAGACTTGAAACACTAAATTAATTATTAACCTGAATATTTCGGCTGTCCTTAGGCCTTCTTCAGCATGAGTGACAAACATTATGTAAAGTTGGCTGTTACAAAACTCAATATAATATAACGAATAAATTGATTGGTTTTATATTTTAACAAAGTATAATGTACATGGTGATAGGCTAAAAAAATACTAAGAGCCGGAGTAAATAACGAATATTATTATTCGTAAATAATAATATAAAATAATAATAATAAATAATAATAATAATAATAAAATAATAATAATAATAATACAAATAATAAATAATTTTTGTATTTATTCGTTATTTACTCCACCTCCTAGTCACCATCACCATGTGCATTATACTTTGTTAAAATTTTAAACCAATAAATCCTAATACTAATCCTCGTGGGACTGATTTATTCAACGAGGTGTTCACATGTAGGCGTATGTTGTTGAAATATATATTTTCAACGTTTTATTTTTACTGTACAACAACAACGTTGAAACTAGATTAGTGATGTTGAAATATTATGTTCATTTTACAGATATTAATAACGTAACAAGTGATGAAAAAAAAATATTTCACTGTTTGAATTTTATAAAACTGTAAAATAAAAGTAGAGTAGGCACATACTCGAATTGTATGTATTTGTGTAGGTACTCACACCAAGAATTGTACTTGCCCGAAGCAGGCATGGTCATATGTATCAGAATATTTTATTCTACCAACATGACAAAAGAGTGACGTGTATGGAGTGCGATATCGCTCTGTATTCGGTTTTTGTACTGCAGTTCAATTTGAAATTTACTGTATTTATCAATCATCAACACTATTGTTATCATCATCAAATATGATCATCATTAAACGTTGATTACTCCTTGAAGTCAAAATAAGACGTTATAGTCTGTTACAGGTATATATGAGCAGTCGGGATGGCTAATGGATCTCCATATGCATTTTAGCACGATGAAATGGAAAATTCTACTGCATCTTTTTCATACTGAACATTATAAAAAATAGAAAATAAAACTTTGTTCTTCAGGCATTTATTCATTATTTATGCCTTAATTAAACCAGGAGCTTCCATGTCTGTGGTATCGGTTACGTTCATTAAATACTAACGTAACGTTCAAATTTAAATCATCATTCTTTGAATTAGGCATGTTTACAACTTGTGTTTTATGTTATATTCCTTATTACTTCTCTCCTCTTCCCTCCCCTTATTTTTATGTTTTTGTAATGATAAAATAATACGAAATGTCATGCTTTAACAGCATTAATAACTCCCAGCTGTATTTTCTTGGCATTCAATCCGTTTGTTTTTTGTATTTGCATAATATGTGCACCTCGTTATGAAATGCTCCTTTTGTAACAGCAACAATACATCTAATCTGATTAAATGCATTGCTTGCAATTCGTATGCTCATACCAAATGTGCTAATATTGTTGATACATGGATTTGTCTTTCGTGCACTAGTGATTTATTTCCATTCTACGGGATAATTTCTCATAAAGAATTTATCCACACCCTTAATTATTATTTTCTAGATTTGAAAAATGACTATCATACACTTAATTCACCGGTTCTATCCCCATTTGATACGGTCTTAAATCAAAACATCTCGAATTAAGCGTAACTTTCGCAAAGAACGTAAGCCATGGATTACTAAGGGTATAATTAAATCAATCGATACCAGAAATAATCTTTATATTAAATACATTAAATCCGGCTTTAAAAGTGACAAAGATTAAACATAGGAATAAATTAACTAACTTAATTCGTCTCTCTACTAAGCTTTACTTTTCAAATAAATTCAATAATTACACGAACAATATTCATAAAACTTGGCAAACTATTAATAACATTTTAGGAAAAGACAACAAATCTTGTTTACCTTCATACTTTATTCACAACAATATGAAAATTACCGACCCATCAATCATTTCCGATGAATTCAATAATTATTTTACTAATGTTGGTCCTAATCTTACTCAGAGCATCGTTCATCCTAGTGGTAATTTAACATTTCCACCTTTACTTAATAGGCCTATTCTTCTTTATTTTTACAACCGATACACGAGACTGAGATTGTTGATCTAATTAAGAATTTCAAAGGTTCTCTAATAAAGTTTTAAAGTACATAATGCATTATATTTCTAAGCCATTAACCCACATTTTTAATTCTTCTTTTCAGACTGTATTTTTCCTGATTTACTTAAAATTGCAAAAGTAATTCCCATCTATAAAAATGAATATCCCCATTATTTTAATAACAGACCCTTTTCTCTATTACCTTCCTTATCAAAAATTCTTGAACGATTAATTTATAATAGACTTATTAATTTCTTTGACAAATATGATGCTTTATTTAATAATCAATATAAGTTTAGGAAACATTTTTCTGCTAATCTTGCTTTAATTGATCTCCTTAATAAAGTGTCATCTTCAAATTGATTTAAAGCTATCTTACCTACCGTCAACAATTTACATCAATTTATCTCCATGATTTCAATTATTCTCGTGTTGTCTGTGGTGTCCCGCAAGGTTCCATTTTAGGCCCTCTTTTATTCCTGATTTATGTTAATGATCTGCCTAACTCCTCAAAACTTCTTAAATTTATTCTTTTTGCAGAAGACACAAATATGATTTATTCTCATAAAAATAAGGATTTATTATTCGCAACTTTAAACGAAGAACAAAATGGTTTCCAATTGGTTTAAAATTAATAAATTGTCCTTAAATACTTCTAAAACTAACTTTATTATTTTTTCTCGTAGTAAAACAAAATCGTCTGACAACCACAAGATTTGTATTGATGACCACTAAATATTACGCGTTCATAAAGCAAAATTTCTTGGCATTACTATTGGCTCAAAATTATCTTGGAAATCTCATATAAATAGCATTTGTAATATCGGTTCTAAAAATACCGGAGTTATGAATGAACTAAAATACATCCTCTCTAATAATATATTTCTTACATTATATTATCATTGCCGTTTTGGTTTATTGCCGTTTTGGTCATTGCCTTTTTTTTTTTTTTTTGGTTTCTTGTCGTTTTGTCCAGAAACCGTCATAAAACCATGCAGAAAACACACCGCGACAGAGCGTGGTAGAAGCACGTCGCGATCATACCATGAAACGTCCACTTGCGTCAACTCGGATGAATCGCGTCATTTCAGGTCAAATCGTGTCAAGTAATGTCAGATTGCGCCAGTACACATCAATTCGCGTCAGCGAACAGCATATTAATGATGAGAAATATCAAGGAAAAAACATATTTTACAGGGGCGGATCCAGAGATGTCCAAAAATGGGCGGGGGAGGGGCAAAATTTGGGCCGATCGAGACAACAATGTCCTAGGGGGTCCGGGGGCATGCCTCCGCAAAATTTTTGTGTTGTAGACGCCCGAAAATAACATTTGAGGCGTTGTGGGCTATCAATTTTTTCTTTTTTTTAACCTCCTAAATCCGCCCTGTTTTATTATTGTAATTGCAATCTTTTCACGTGTATTTCAAAACAATAATTATGTAACAATTTAAAAAAAATGTATTAGTATTTGACAAATTCTGTTGTCTTTCTTTTGTCAATGTATAGGCCTATGCATATTCATTGTGTGTGCTTATATAAACATAAATGTTTATAACTTATGTAAATTCACACTTTATTCTAACAGTTTTTTTCTTAAAATTCATATTTCATTTTTTTAGGTATTGTATTGATTCTGATTTGTAATTTTAATCAAAAATTTAATAAAGAAAATCTTAAACTTGATGCATTGTTATGATGAACGTGCATGGATTTGGATGTATACTCCCATTGACTTCGGTGGGACAGATTTCTATGAAATAGAAAAGATGTTTTAAATTTGTTAGTTATATTAAAAAATCATATTTATTTCACAAACATTCTAAAGGCTCGTTCTTCCTTCCTCGACTTTGCTTATACATTATATAATGTACAGTACTACACATTCGATATGATCACCATTAATTTCTTTATTGGCCAATCAACACACATATTATAAAAAGAAATGTTTTCCATCCTGTGTAGTTTCTACAGTACAACATTTTTATACTGTTTTAATTGAGAAAAAATAAATAATGCTTCCATACTCTTGTGACATTGTGTATTTCTTCAAATGGCTAAATACAGACATTATGGTGTCATTTAGGTACCTTGGTAGGGCCAGTCCAACAAAGAGGGCAATAAAATATGGGATTTGAGATAAATGGTCTTACCACATCAGGTGGGGATGAGATGCGTGTGGACTCGTTTGAGATTGCCGCTTTCATCTAGATGGTGTGATGATGAATTTTACTATATAACAGCTGTGAAGTAGGTAAAGTAAATACACCAAAGACAATGTTTTTAAGTTTTATTTTCTATGGTACCGTACATCACACATACTAACTAGATCTCTATGGTTGCCAAAAATAGCTGATAAAAGATTAGGAATGAATTTTACTATTTAAAGTGTCATTTCCGGCCATCTGGTACTATTTCCTCAAATTTTATCATCTCGACCCCAACTGTGGTGGGGTTGAGATACATTTGGACTCACAATTTTGAAGTATGTAAAGTAATTACATCAAAGACAATGTGTTGAAGTTTTATTTTCTATGGTACCGTACATCACACTAGATCTCTATGGTTGCCGAAAATAGCTGATAAAAGAACACGAGAATTTGTTGGCGTTTGACTAACGGTATATATATTTATTATAATGTTAATGTGATGATAAGATACCATCTCCTACTTCGTTGACGATACCATGTGCAACTGTGCTATTCCAATACCTTCAAAGAAACATTTTTTGCCAATAAAATTATTGACAATAGACATTTTTAATCGATTTCAGGATCCATTATCCATAAATATTATATGTCCTATTTCCAGTTTACCGTAATTTTAATTTGAAAATCGGAAGCTTTGGAATTCAAGACTTGCGGACTGATATTTCTAAATGTAAATGATATTTATTAAACTTGCACAAATTAAACTATTATTCTATAGTACATAATTGAGCAATGTCCAGTGGAGGTTCAAAGACACTGAGTACCCCTACATTTGCATGTTGGCCTATACAGCCTATTATGATCTACTCAAAGCTCAGTTTATCAGGGGCGCAGCCAGGGTAAAATTTGAGTGGGGTCAAGCCTTGCGAACGCAGCGAGCAACTAGACTGGGGCCAGGGGTCTGACAAGGGCCCCCGGTCTGCGTCCAGGGGCCGAAGGTCCAGAACGTTTGCGTTATTTTACATGGTGAAAGGTAGAATTCAGAGGTTTTGCCACGTTAGCCTGAAAGCAATGTGTGAACAAGAAAATTAATTTGGTGTGATATTTTACACTTTCCCATGGTTCCAAAAAACAAAGGATAATGATTTTATACCGTAATAATAAAACTCCGACGACGGCCTATTTTTAAATAGCCTAGGTCTTAAAGCAGGCATGTTGCTTTATTACCTAACTGCATTTTTTTTTTTTTTTAACTTGATAAAGCATAGGCCTAGGCCTATTTATCTTATTATCGCTTTTATATTATTATCTAGGGAGACCTTTACTGTAGGTATTATGAATTCTGACCCCAAGTTTGCGTAAAGTTCGCACATTGTAGAGTACTGGTAAATATATCTTGCAATGTTTATGTTGCCAGGCATGCTATATTAAATCAAATGAGTATCCCAAATTTCGGCATTAAATCCTTTGAGGTGTTGTCCGAACAGTTTAACGCTTGATCTTAAGTTGAACAATAACTATTCATATTATTAATAGGTACACATACCTATCTACAAGAACGGGCAAGGTCTGGGGATGCGTAAATAGTTCCTGTCCCAGTATATAATTACTAATCGCATAAAATGCCCCTCGTATTAACTGGGGTTGAGAGTCGAAAACTTTCTTCATGTGTCGAATACAAACAGGAACAGAACGTAAGTATGTTGCCCCCAATGAAGAACTCAGCCGACTGCACACCGACTCCATCCCTTAAAAAGTAATAATAGTAATACAGTAATAATAATAATAATAGAAGTATTGTTAATAATTATAATAAGCCTAATAATAATAATTAATAATTATAATTAATAATAATATTCATAATATTAATAATAATAATGTTGGTGTTGATGATGATAATGGTGAGGGTGATGATGATGATGATGATGATGATGATGATGATGATGATGATGATGATGATGATGATGATGATGATGATGATGATGATGATGATGATGATGATAATAATAATAATAATAATAATAATAATAATAATAATATGATGATAATAATAAGTGTAAAAAAAAATTATCATTAAAAAAATTTTGGTGGAGGAGGAGGAGGAGTGGGAAAGTTTTTTAATATGGATGATTCTTGGTTGAGGATATCTCCTTAACCATAATTTTTTTATTTGTTGAAACGGTTACAAGATAGTTGATAGGGTCATTTCCCCAAATAAATTCATCATGTGAATGTATACTTTGAAAATTCTGAATAAAAAAAAAAAAAAAAAAAAAAAAAAAATAAGTGAAATTTGTACAATACCTTTCAATTTAGGTCCTTCTATCACAATGATAGGAGGCATCTTTTGGTTGTTAAAAACAGTTTTGACATCATTTCTACCAATTGAAGACACAACTGACAATAATTCATCTACGGCAGAGCAAGATCGCCACTAAAATAATGTAAAATTATTATCATTTGAAGTAGCTCCATAAACATAATTATGTTGTTAGTGATGGAAAAGAGCCGTCAACATTTAATTCGAGGCTAAGAGTAAAGCCGGGCAATCACTGCGTCGTACTGAAATTGAGCTTGGCAGTTATTAGCCCCTCCAGGAGGTAATGCAAAATATGATGCACAATTAAATTTGAAAACTAACACTTCAAGTCCACTTCAGGCTATAAGTTTAGGGTTTGATAATGAGGTCAATAAATTTATTAATTTGCTAAGATATGTGTCAACACACAACCTTACAAACTGGTCCCTGAAAAATAATCCTCTGCAAAGTCTCCCTCTACTTTTAACAAACTCTCCCAACAAACTTGCCTTTTTATAAAATAGAATGTAATATCTGCCTCATTGGTTACAAATACATAGACCTAATTATCTATTTTTATATTCCGTTTTTAATTATATTTTGCATTGTTATAATTTAAGACGTTCTTATAGTAGATTCTATTTTATTGGGTTTTATGGTTTAAGACCTACACCTATTTTACATTTCATTTCGTTAGGTTTATATAGCTGGAGACACATATTTGTAGTTACATATTTCGTTATGTTTAAGACGAAATAAATTATATTCAATTTTGGCAAAGACAAGCCAAACAAGTCACTCGTCGCAAATCGTGTTTCACAGAAAATGTCTAAAAACACGATGAAATGTCAACATTTTCGAAACCTATTTTATTGCACTAAACTAACCTTTATATATTTATACATCATGCCATGCTGTTATTTTCCCTATTTTCAATGTTAAAACAATAATTTTTAACGATTTGGTGATGGTTCTGCCTGAAAAATGCCCAAAATCATAAACTTTGAAGGCTGATTTCTCAAATATTGTTCTTTAAACGGATGTATGTTTAAACGCTTGTAACTTCATAAGGAAATGTCGGGTTTAAATAATTCTTTTACCATTTTATAGCTCTCGTTGCATTTTACTGTTTAACTGTATTAATAACCAGATATCGATTTTTGCGAAGAGTGGCTGGTTTGGTTTGTCTTTGTCTAAGCTTTACAGTTTTTGTTGTTGTAGGCAAGTTTTAAATGGCGAGTAGTTATAATGGTCGACTTTGCTATGGGCAACTTGACTGGTTCCTGTTGCATTGCATTGAATTCACTAGTAAATTAAATTATAAATATAATTTGTTAAATTTCTTTTGTTTTATGTGCAGACAATATCGGTATCACCCCCAAAAATTTAACTCAGCGAGAGCACATATCGCTAAATACATTTTATGTCTATATCTGTATACGTTTCTACTTTTTATAATGACACTCGCCTTGATAGAGAGAGGTTTCGGGTTCGAATCTACTTTTTTCATACAATTGAATAAAGGAACTTTTCCTTGAAGGGCAATTGCTTGAAAGGATAATAACATGTATATAGAATATAGATGGCCATATTTGGATTTCAAATATCAAAACAATACAAACATGCTTGATGATACAGATTATGTGTACCTTATAGATCTGGAACAACATTTTATGGTTATAATCTATTTAAATTATTATATATTGCTACAAAATGACATTTTTTTCGACAATTTTAATTATTTTGGATGTCCAAAACGGGGGCCCGAAAGGGGGGAAAGAAATTTGGGCCGATCGAGACAACAATGTCCTAGGGGGTCCGGGGTGTTTTGGTGTTCTAGACGCCCGAAAATAACATTTGAGGTGTTGTGGGCTATCATTTTTTCTTTTTCTTTCTTTTATTCTTTTTTTTTCATTTTTTATCTCCCAAAAGTGGTGGCTGGGGTCGGGCCCTCCCCCCTAAATCCACCCCTCCCCCTTAAATCCACCCCTGGTTTGTGGAACCACCCTTGCACTAAACACGGTATGGAGCTTTCACAATTTCCAAACGCCAAGTTTGGGAACGTTCCTCGGATTCTTCCTCACCACATTGCTCTGTCAATGGGCCAACCCTGAGAATCTTACTCAATAACACTAAGTTGGTACTTACGCGTGACAGAATATCTAGAGCAATTCTGTAGTCATGGAACACAGAGTGATTCGTGTGGTGCATAAACGCCGGGTGGTAGTTCACTCTCTCAATGATCATCAGTTGCTCGTCCACTTCTTTGGGCTTATTGTCAATCATCAATATTAACTTTTGTTCCACATTCCCATCATTGAATACCACACAGCGAAAGTAAGCTGCCTGACGATATTTGACCGCCAATGCACATACAATCTCATTGTGGTCTCTGATCGGATAATTCAACGGTAGAACAACTGTGAATCCTCTTTCAAAATGTTTCGGTCGACTTGGAAAAAATGAATAATTGTTCAAAATTGCACAGCCTGGCAATCTGAGACGAATTTCTTCCACGAGAAGCGTGTTGCGTTTAACATTTTCTACAACCTCTATTTGTTTGTTCATAGGGTTGTAGGCTGTGATGGAGTACATAACTACATTTCTCATCAACTTTCTGCTCTTGCCGAAGTCACCAATAACTTGAAGATCCCGTCGCAATGGCAGGATATCACGGTCGCAGAAGAAAATGGTTCCTCGACCTGTCTCGATGGCTGAGATACAGTCAAGCCAATCGACTTCATCTTTGTGATTATCATTGTTAGTGTACATAATTAATAATAAAGCACGAAGCTTGGGATCAGTCTTTTTCTGCTAAAGCAATGTAAATGTAGTAATAACGGACGCACTACTATATATAACATAATTAAGGCATAGTCCTCAGTATGCATTGCTATAGCAAACACAAAAATCAAATAAGCGTGTAAAGAATGCTCTGATTGGTCGATTGAGTGTGACAATTTGGCATGTTCGATTTCCTGTAGGGTCTTCTGTAATTCCAATACATATTTACTCATTTTGTTTATGAAACATTATGAAATTAGGTTCACTGAAAATGGTATTTCTCTTTCTATTTCCAATTTTATAAAAAATAATGCCTCTTTATTAACGCTTAAATGTGATTATTTAACTTAAACGATTTGATTTTACTATCGATTTCGGAATCAATGAACTGTTGCATCAGGTAGTCTGCTATGATACCGATGATGAAATCCATGAAGTTATCACGTGAAAGTGCCCTCTATTGTTAGAGTAACGCAATAATATGTCATTCGTAACAAAAGTCCTTAGGTGAAAACGACAGCTGGAAAACGTAATGGATTCTTGTTTATATATTTCAATATTGATGATGTATTAAATATGCTTATTTACCAGGTCACATTTATACATCCCATAATTTGTTGCCATTGGAGTAAGTGTTGATTCGTGGTTAATCAGGGATAACCAACAGCGAACCAATTGCTTATGTATAAATATGACAAACGTCAGAATCAGAAATAAATTTAAAAAAAAAAAAAATAACATGAAAAATAACAAACATCGCCTGTCCTCCTATAGAGATGGATACATGATTTTTTAAGGGCTAGAGGTGAAAGCTGAGGTGATGTCTTTAAAAACGCTCCAACTCTAGATAGGAAATAGGATTTATACGTACGGTATTAAACCATAGTGCAGCGCACTACTTCGATCATTGAGCTCTATGATATTTCAAGTCGATGACGAGTTACAATGTTACTTAGCAAAATATGATAGAGCTACTATACGATGCACTGCTATTGGTCAAATATATTTTAGAAAAAAAATGAAAAAAGGTCCCAGCAACTGCGGCGGAACGTTTTTGAAAGTGGGTGGGGGGGGGGAGGCATTTCATAAGGTCCAGTATGCGAGCGAAGCGAGCATCTAGGCTGGGGGACGCAAGCCCTCTGGAAGCTACTGATATTTTACAAAGTTTGGTGAATTTTATAAGTTATTTTATAGGCATCAAGCTACTGTAATATGACTTCATATTTGTTGTAATTTCCAGTAGCGGATTCAGCAATTTGTGATTATGGCACCTCTAGATGGCCGGAAATTGCACTTCCAGACATAAAATTTGAATATAATTATCTTTATATCTACATTTTTTATTCAACAATTTGGGGGGGGGGGGAGGAGCGGCTAGGTCCCCTTGAATCCGCCACTGGGTACATCAGTAAATGGAAAATCTGTACCACCTCAGCCCCACCATGGTTCGGGGCTGAGGTAAATTTGTGATTATGGCACCTCTACAGGCCCGTAGGCAGGGGGAGGGGGTGTGACGGCCGGTTCGTACTGACCCCTCCCCCACAAATTACAAAAGGTCCGCATTTCCCGGAGTAGAAAATTTAAGACACACTCACATGCGCCAAAAATCCATCCACCCAAAATGCTTGACCAATCAGAGCAGTTTCCAACTAGGACTGCCTCTATATAATCTTAATGAGTAATTTTCGAGTTTCCCCCCGCCGTTGCGTGTAACTCGCCACGTACAAAACTCATCTTCTCTCTCTACATAGGTTTCACTAAAATAGGCCTATCTTTATTCTGCGAGTGCCATTTCCGGCCATCTCTAGAGGTGCCATAATCATAAATTTTCTTTTCCTTAACCCCAACTATAGTGGGGTCGCCTGGGGTGGGTGGACCCTGGCCAATATTTCTGTGAAATTTCCTCCCTGGACCCCCTCTATTTCGAATTCCTGAATCCGCCACATACAGTATGTTGAAGTTCCTATCTGGCCAGGAAGAGTGTGGACGTATTCGCTTAAAAACAACAACAAAGTGATTTATTGCTTTCCCTACCCTGTTCCCAATCAGATCAGTATAGGCTTATTTTATGAATTCTCGATTTTTTAAATATAATTTTGACGTCTACCCATCTCATTCACGACGTGAAGCGCTTGTCATTATTTGTTCATATTCGCAATTTCCATTAATATCATTTATTTATAATACAACATTTACATTTGTGGTAAAAATTTAGTATTTTCAATACTTAATAATATAATAGGTTTTTTCATTGTGCGCTAGACCTACATTGATTTCTTTTATGTTTAAATTTATTAATGTTTTATTTACCTTGTTATAAAATTTTACATAGTTTATTGACATACCGGTATGCAGTGAAAATCTAAAACACTACGTGGTTGGGAAGCGGCACGTTTCACATGGCTGTGTATGTCCAATTTGTAGGGATTTATTTTATTCCGACCTCGATTTATTTATGATTCTTAAAATTGTAATCATATTAATGAACGTTAAGCCGTAGTATAATTAATGAAATTTCCACGGTGTTTTTAATTAGATTGATTTAACTTTGTATAGATCAGTTTCCTTAACATATCAAAGTTGATATTTTTGATAGACTACAGAACATTTGAAAAAAGAACACTGAATAGTGTTTGCTTTCAAAACTAGTGTCGGATTGTTTATAGCGCTCACCCCCTCCCCCACCCCCAACATTTTTGTCCACTTTCCACAAATTCGCACCAACCCAATAAAGATCCTGCGTACGGGCCTGCTCCAGTGGCGGCTCTAGGATATAATTTATAGGGGGGGCTAAGATGTCCAACTGGGAGGACTAAGTATTTATGGGTGTACCTATAGCCGAAGGCCCGAGCTGGGAGTGGGTATGGGAGGGGGATGTCCCCTCTTCCCTTAATGAGATTTTTTTTTTAAATTGGGACTTTTAGACTAGTAGATGGTCGGAAATGGCTGGGATGGAAAAATTAGGCCTATTTTTTTTTTCTTTTCGGTCCGACTGCAGACGAGCTTCAGCCGATGAGGGAGGGGGCTTGACCAGACCGATGGGGGGGCTTAAGCCCCCTGCCCCCGCCACTGGCCTGCTTTAGATGGCCGGAAATTACACTTAAAATTTGAATATTGTCCTTATATCTCCATTAAAAAAAAAATTAGTCAACCCCCACCCTCAGTGGCGTCGAGAGGGGGTCAGGGGGGTCGCTGCCCCGGAGCCCGGGTCTACTGGGGGCCCGGACCAAGATAAAACATTTTCGGGGTAAGAAAAAAATCTCCATAGGGCCCCGAGCCCAAGCCAGGATGAAAACTTTTGTTGTCATAACAAACTCTACATTATGGTTTTATGGGCGTCTTTCTAAGTCTTTCTGTATTTTTATTACTAGATGAATAATCCCCCCAGGGGAATAGTCCACCCAATGCCATCCCGTTCCAACCAGGTGCAAAGTGGTATGTATATACGTGTATTATATATATATAATTATTATCGTTTATTCATCAGATTATTCTGACACATCTACATTGCAAAACAATAATCACATGGAATCATATTCATGTATGTGGGTTTGGACATCAATCATGGTTCATGATAAATAAATGAATTATTTATCATGAGGGTTATCCTTGATATGGATATTCCCCGACGAAACCTTCACTTTTCCCCCGATGGATAAAAATTAGGCCTACCCTTCTAGAGGAGCCCGGAAATGATAGGGCCTACTCCAACTGTGGCGGATCCAGTAAGTCGAAAACATAGGGTCATATGTCAAATTTGATATTTTCGGTCAATTTTAGTAAATATTACCGTACATTAGAGCAAATAGAAACATACATGTTCTGAACTATTCTGAACTATTTAAAGCAAAAACCAAGTTTGTGTGATCACTGGTTACAAAGATATTGAACCATATATTTTTATCCCTAATTTTCCATATTTTAGATAATTTGCATATGAACTGGACATTTTTCAGAATTTTATCTCCTTGTCACATGCCATCATTTGAAAAAGAAAAATCTTTATTGGCACTTTGTATAACTTCAAATTGCAGTCTTGGAACATTTTGTTTATACAAAGCACGTACTTTAAGATATAATTGTAAATGGAACTTGGATTCCACGTCAAGACTATTTGATATTGAATACAATAAGAAATATTAAGAATGCGTTGGTTAGTCAGCCATCAGGACTGACCCTTTTTAATATGTACAAATGTAAATGAATACAAATATAAGTAGATAAGGTATAGACCTACATGCACGCAAAAAATTGTCTTTTAATTGTATGCATATGCGCCTTTTCATTTTTAAGCTTATGGTATACATATGAGCCTTTGCATTTTTAAGCTTGTTGTAAATATATAAAACGGATATTTTATGACATGATTTATGAAAATCAAAGAGAAAAGAAGAAATAAAAGTTGGTTTAATCCCCACTAAAGAGAAAAAAAACTTCAAATTGCAGATTATTTACGGTACATTGCAAGTATATTTGGCGACCATTTTTAAAAACGTCCCTAATTTGCAAAGGTCTCGACGCAAGTTTCACGAAGCTGAGGGTGACCATATTTCTAAAATTACTAGCTCCTCAACATATCACTTGCGCAATATAAGAAGGATTATGAAGTACCTCTCTAGGAAAGCAACAGCACAACTGATTCATGCATTCGTTACTTCATATCTTGACTTTGGGAATTCTCTCTTTTTTGGTATTTCTAAGAGATCCATTCCAACTGTTGCAGAATACATCTGCTAGGATCATTACAGGAACAAAGAAATTTGAGCACATCACACCGATCCTACAAGAACTTCATTGGCTACCTGTTTCTTTCAGGAGCATTTTCAAGATTTTGCTCATTACTTTTAAGACTCTGAGAGATGAAAGTCCTGGGTATCTTCGTGAACTGCTTGTATGGTACGTGCCATCGCGAACTCTCCGCTCTGGTACTGACAAACTTCTGCTTGTTGAGCCTAGATCTACACGTTCATGGGTGATCGATCATTTGCTGTTGCGGCTCCACGCCGATAAATATTCGCTCGTGTCAGTCTACTCCTTTGTTCAAAAAAGCTCTCAAGACGCATCTGCTGTCGGCTGCTTTTTCCTAGTTCTCCGGTTTGTTTTGCTTGCTTGCTTAATTGTTTCAGTTAGATACTCCCATTACTTGAGCACCTGTGATGAGTAATGAATAGGCGGGCCCTGTGCCTTAAATTACCTGTAAACGGTGCGGTGATGGTGTGGTTTTTCTTTTCTTGTAGCTTTAGGTTCATGTTAATTTTTTGTTCCTTCATGTAGCACCTTGAGCACTACTGCAGTGGATTTGTGCGCTTTATAAATCTTATTATTATTATTATTATTATTATTACCAGAAGGTGTCAAAAAGCCATCTAGCATGGATGAATGCTTTTAACAGTCTACTACTCCTGAAGTCATTCCAGAAGCGTGTCTAAAAAGTTGCAAGATTCTCCTTAAGAGTTTTGTTCAAGTCATTAAACTCTTTGATATCTTCTGTCAATCTCAACAGTTCCCGCCTCCGAAGTTCACATTGACGTACAAGCTTATGAAGTTTCCATTGTTGACAGGTTGTTTCAATACATTCAAAATCACCATTCTCCGCATGTGTTATTACTATTTCTGGCAAACATTTTAAATTGCTCAGTGATTTCCTCAACGGGACACTTTTAGGCCTAAAAGTCGAAATCGTCGGGTTTGCAAGGACACACTTATCAACGTTCACAATCAAGTCAGGTAGGCTTTCACATGAACTTTGTCGAGATATTTGAGGTGTTGGTGTAGGAACGTTTAGCTTAAAACATCGCTCTTTGTTGTACAAGAACTCAATGGACGGCAGTCGATTAAAGTTGGTTGTTAATCCTCTGCATTTTGGTAAAACAAAATATGCTGGTTCATCTTCGCTTTGATGAGTAGTTTTTTGGTAATTCCGACTAATTTGGTTGGTTTGTCTAAACATATTCTGCTTCCTTTGGGAAAGTTTGCAGCACCTTCCAAATGCAGGGCTAGATAAAGGTGCCTTTCGATCACCAGTATTTTGAAAAGTTAATTGTTGATCAAATTTACGAACATGGTCCATGTGTTCGACTAACGACTGAAATGGTAATTTTTTAACAGGTTTATTAAAATGCTTTGACACAACAAGCGTGTCTGGAGTATTTCCATGTATTTTCTCAAAGAGTCCATGTCCTTGTAATGTAATGGGTTGGGGAAGCAGCGACAACTCACCGTCACGACGATCTAAATTAATGTTGGTGCATCGGATTCGTGCGGGTGACGTAGCGATCCGTTGTCTTGAAGTCCAACTTGGGTTATCTTGGAAACGAGATATAGCACGCCGCAGATTTTTGTGTTCTTCATTAACAAGACGATCTTTCCGATTGAGCATATTGCTCATATATCTTGTTTGGCTACTCAGATACCCCTGCTTATCCAATATCCAAGGTAGGCCTACACTCCTGCTTCTAAGCCTATCTCTCTTATCGTTCTGTCCACTCATATTCAGGTAAATATATGAGGCCACAGAATCGTTGAAATATTAGCCGTATGATTGATCTGAAAAATAATAAAATATACATTATATACACCGTGTGGTATACTTATCACAAGATTGTAATTGGTTTTGCTTATTTGTTATGACGCCTTGGCATGAAGCGTCGATTATTAATGCTTTTCTAATGGCCTTTCTTATTAGAAAATAATATCATATATCCTATCATTTATTTATTTAAATAAATACCGGTACAACAGAACAACAAACAAGAGAACGCACAATGTACGAGTGAAGAAAGATATAAACACTCGACATTAAATAAAAGTCACAGCAAGCCTACTGTTGTGAAATTATGGCGGCCGTGACAAGTTAATAACTTACAAAAAAACTATGGAATTGAATTTTTCAATTTTATAGCTCATGATAAAATAGTACGGTCCATCAGGACACAACCTGAAGAAGAACCAGATTCAGGGGAGCACCTCGAACAGAAGGAATTTGCTATGTATTATCATTATCATTATTAATTATTATTATTATTATTATTATTATTATTATTATTATTATTATTATTATTATTATTATTATTATTATGTAGATGTTCTTAAATGGCGCTCTACAAGGATCAGAGCTCCTTACAAAACTTACCTTTCAAAAGCAAACAAATGAAGGCCAATAAAAACAACTCTTCTCGGAGAAAAGAATGTACTAATATAGACTTATCTGCGGCATTTGACAGAGTGGTGCTGCTTTGAACTTTGAATTCATCAGAATAAAACAACACCACAATATTCTAGTACTAAAATAATTGATTTATTAGAGCGGTTCTACAACTCAACTTCATACTAACAATGCAACTTGCAACAGAACGGTAGCCAGTGATGGAGAGGGCAAACAGTTGCAAAACACCTCTAAAATCAGCCCAAACCATATTATTGCACTGTCTTAAACAAACAAAAAAACAATAAATATTGTCAACAATATAAACAGACATTCAATTTGACTTAAATTGGTTGCAAATGCATCTTTCTACTTCATGCAAGATTAGGAATCTATTTCTTTTGGTTTAGGCGTCAGACAAAGCGGCATTGGGATCAGATTTGGCAAGAATAACATCCCATTTACCTAGATTCAGTTACCAAGTTTTTACAGCAAAAACTGATCCAGCTCAAATGTGCATTACAACCTGCTATGTTGATGATCGGACCATGGAGGTCGGACTCTATACTTCTGCCAGCCCCGATAATAGCCTGGGCTTCGATAACACCTAGAAAGTACCGCTCAAGCTCCATCTGTCACTGAATGTTGGAGAGACGGAATCAATCAATTTAATTTTCAATGTGAAACAAATGAATATCCGGAATCGATAATAAACCTGTCTCAAACGACGGTAAAACATTATTGCAGTGTACGATAGCAGCACAGAAAGCCACAAACAGTCTTCGTACCATTAAAAGGTCATTCAAATATATGGATATAGCGAGCTTTAAAATATTATATAAATTATATGTTAGACCTCACCTTGAATATTGTATTCAGGCTTGGAGCCCGGGCTTAAAAAAGGACATCAGTATACTGGAAAAAGTTCAAAGGAGAGCCACAAAATTACTGCCATCTTTGAAAAAAATTAGCTATAGCGAGAGATTGGTCAAATTTAACCTGTATACCTGGGAGCAACGGAGAATTAGAGGAGACCTTATTGAAACTTTTAAAATTGTTAAGTCCTTTGAAGACGTAGATTGTGGAACATGTTTTACCTTTGTCGAGGACAGTAGCAGGAGAGGTCATGAACATAAATTATACCAACCAAAACTTAACAAATTTTTGAAATGTAGAATGGAAGTCTTTTCACATCGAGTCATATATATTTGGAACAGCTTACCACAAGAGGTTGTTGCTGCCACAACTGTAAACACCTTTCAAAAACAGACTGGACAGCTGTGGGGTCTTTAAAGCATTGGCTAACTTTTCCCACTTATATCAAGTATCAAGTAGGCAAGTAAACCTTGGCAAAACTACTACTTTCGAATTACGTTTCTATGCAGCAAGCTCAACATTTATAAAATTATTAAAACTAATGAGGAATCCATCGCATTTCTGGCAGACTTGTACAGACTTAGTTAGTGGAAGTCCTGTCTTCTTGCTCTGTTAAGCCAATTGTATTTTTAATATTATTATTTTCTTATATTTTTTGGCCTACATTAGTACTACGAAACACGTTTATTATAAGAGGGCGAACTGTAAGCCTACTGCTGCGAAAACTTTACCAGTGTAATTGTTTTTCATTTCATTTACGTGCCGCTTGTTATGAAATGAAAAACACTTACTCTGGTGTTTTTCATTTCATTTCATTTTGTACATTGTTATGAAGACTAGCTTCATAGTTGTAGCAAGAATAAAAAAATTAGTTCCATGCTCATAACAGTTTACTGTACATTTTATCCGGCCATTACCGTCTAAATGACGGGCTATCATACAGGGTGGTTAAGCCTTGGTTAACGGACAGCCCTGCTAAGTTTATGAAGTAGGATTACTTTTGTTTTATTTTACAAATACATTCAACGGCCAATGGATAATACAGGATGCCTTATAAATATAGATACACTTTTAAATACATATAAAAACAATACATTTAAATACTTAAAGATTTATGGAACCCGCCCAGGAAAATAATTAGGCAATCATTAATTCAAATGTAATGAAAACTGGATTTAAATGAATTTAAACTTTCATAAAAATGTGAATTATTTCTATGCTCATGATCATTATATAAAGACGCTAATCTGTTGTGTATAAAGCCACCTTTAGTACAGATTACTCTCTTGAAAGGTAACGACAGGTCCTTATCGTGTTTACGACGGGAGCCAGGTCAAACAATATTAAGTAAAAAAGAACATAAATTGGTGATGCAAATAGAATCAATGCATTTAAAAAGAAATATCAAATATACTTCTATTACTCAGTGGATCGAGAGTGTGCAACTAAATGATGGTTAAAAGGCCCGGTGTATAAGAATTCTAATTGGACTCTTTCAATGGGGCCTACGAGTAGATTGGGAAACAGAAATGGAATTTTAAATAACACTGAAATGATTTTAAAAAGTAGAATTAAAGAAATATAAGATCTATTCTCCTTCACAATCAAAATGTTGCAATGACGCCAAAACTAACAATGTTATCTAGATGATGATTAAAAATAAGTTTAGAATCTATAAAAACACTAAAAACGTTTTGTGCAAAAACTCTAATTTTATAAGTGCCATTTAGACTATAATTAACAATGAAAGGAGATTGGTAAAGGCTGACAGGACTGTGTACTTCATAGGATTTAGAGAAAACACTGAACCATTTACATAATCCGTCAAGATCTTCCTGAAATATTTTTAGATTGAGAATTTTGATATTAGGCTACATCTGAAAATTACGCAAATGTGACTACCTGCAGTATAATCTTGATTATACTCAGGGACGGTTACAGAGATGTCTGAAAGGGCGGAGCGATCGAGAGACAACACTACCCTAGGGAGACGGGAAAGTTTTGTTTTCCAGACGCCCGGAAATAAACTCTGAGTTGTTTTGGCCGATTAATAATTTATTTTTCTTTCCGTCTTTTTTATTTCACTTTCGGCATGCCCCCACCCACAAATCCGTCCCCTAATATTATTCCTCTGGAGGAGGCGTTTCTCTAAATGGTTATACCACCAAGCCGTTAGTCGATAGAAGACGCAGTATACTGTAACCCCTATTAAGGGGACACCTTCGGGACCAAACAAAGAGGCCCCTTAGGGATGTCCTTTAAGTTGCTCGTAGTGTTGAAAGATATCTTCATTTTGTGGCTGAAAAACAGAGGTCTCCTATAGGGGTTTCCCGGAGGGGTTCTACTTTATTATTGTATTGTGATTTGTATAAATTCTATTAAAATTATTACAATTAATAACAATAATAATAATAATAATAATAATAATAATAATAATAATAATAATAATAATAATAATAATAATAATAATAATAATAATAATAATAACAATAATAATAGGCCTAATAATAATAGGGCCTAATAATAATAATAATAATAATAATAATAATAATAATAATAATTTAGATTTATATAGCGCATTACACTAACAAAAGCATCAAAGCGCTTAACAATGATTATATGATAGCATACCGGTAACTAGGTGTATCACTAGGGGCCTATTATAATTGTTATATTATAATTGTTATAATAATGATAATTTTTATAAAAATTATTGAAAAGCGCAAACAAGGCACTTTATTTCAAAATGCCACAGAATTATTACAAAGTATGACATGTATTACAAATTGAGGATTAACAAAGTGCGATAGTAGGCCTACAATCGCTAACACCAATTACCGGTATATAAACCACTCTAACACAATTATAATCCAAACTTTAAACCTCAGTACGGTTAAGGTTAGAGCAGCTTAAAAGTGAGGGTGATTTTGGTATTGATTTGCTGTGCTGGTTAAATTGTAAGCTAAATGTTATTTTCTCGATTAATTATTATTTAGGCCTATGATTTTCCGGATTCCTTGAAACCGGGTTTTTACTGCGGAAGGCGCTATAAAAAATGACCATTTATCATTACTTACCAGAAATATAAAAAGTAAATACCTTTATGATATTCCAAAATTGTTGACTCTCATTATCAAATAGTGTCCTGTGATATTAATTAGAGGCCAACCATCGAAGGTAGGTATCATACTGGCTCCGCAGAATACTCTCTCTTACCACTGAGTAATCTTATCGACTGCCTGTTGGACCAAAACTGATTTGATTATTTACTCTGCATGCCTAAAAAAAATCTAAAGAAGGGTTTCATTATTCTCAACTCACCTGTTTATTGTAGATGTTACTTATGTACATATTACATCTAACCTGGGGCTCACAAACACAATTGGTTTCCTGGCGTCTCCGTGGTGCCATTTCTCTTGAGCAATGGTGTCTGCCTGTACGGTTTAGATTGTGTAAGAATTTCTGTAGCCTATTCATAGTGTATCGACCTGTCGACTAGGAGTTATAAACAGAGGTTTTAAAATCATTGGGCACGTGCTGTGATAGGTGAATTAGACGCTGCAGTGTGAAGACGTTATAGATTCTGTCGCGAAAATTGTCGAGTAATTATTTCCGTTTCACGGGAAAAATATCTTCACACGCACTGCCACTGACGTCATAATGTAACGTCTACTATTTTAAACCATGTTAAACAGCAAAATTAGGTCTAGTGATCTTAACAATACAGTTTTGTATAGGCCTACAATATGCTGCAAGTTGTATTGTCAATGTCTATACAACTTTGTAGTATAATTAATAAATAATAAATTGTATTCTATTATTATTAATAATAATATTATTATTATCATTAGGCCTACTATTGTTATTGTTATTGTTTATTATCATTATTATTTTTTATTTGATATTTGGCAATCTCATAGGCGCCATGTTTCGATGTTAATGTCTTCAAACAATTAAGTTAAATAAACAATATTTACTTTATATTTAATTGATGGTAAAACTCTCCCACACTTAAACATTATAATTCATATTTAAATGTGTACATCTATCACTCTCCATCTGCACTTGTTTTCATACCGCACGGTACCAAACAGTTATATAATTATTTTTCCTTTCCTTTCCTTTCGATTGATCTTTTGATTCTTAACTGTTTTCCTTGAAAAATATTCTAGCTCCGTTACGTACAGGCAGAATCTACTAAATTTTAATTTAGTATGTGTCATTTGTATTGACTGATTTTTCATTGTAAGTGGTGATTGCGTCTCACAAAAGAACATCACAAAATATCAAAACACAAGAAGAAACAAAATGCACATGCAGGGCCAGATTTAGGGGGCTCAGGCCAGCCCCACCACCCCACCCATATTCTTTTTTGGGAAGTAAAAAAGAAAAAAATGAAAGAATTAAAGAAAAATAAAAAATTGATCGCCCAAAACGCCTCAGAGCTTATTTTCGGCCGTCTAGAAAACATAAGTTTCGCGGGGACATTCCCCCGGACCTGGGGTGGTTTTATCTGGATCGGCTCATGAAAATGACGGGATCCACAGACTATAAGTCTAAACTAAGGTAAACTAGGCCTACGGTAATTGATCTACATCTCTCAATATACCATCATACGAAATAAATAAATGAAACACATCGTTCGCTGTCAGCTAGCCATTATATGGCATAGGTGTATTCAAGTGGCCGCTCTACTATGTATTCTGATAATTTTAGGTGAGTCGGCGTTCTTCTTCATGACCAGGTGTTTAATGTGTGAACATTAACATGCTAGTTTGTTTTTAAATGTGCTTGTTTGCAATGTACCATATCCTTATTTGAAGACCCCCTTTAGGTCTATATCATCGGCCAACTGCCACTTTATTCATTTGAATTGATTCATTTCCTTACGTGCTCTTGTCAGCTGTGATTTAATTGCTTAATAATAGAAACGCTGAAAGGAAAATCCAAAATGACGCAATTCGTTACGTATTCTCGTAGTGTATATCAATTTACAGATGGTCAAGCTCGCACCATTTTATAAAGATCAATAACAATGAAAAAACGATAGCAGATTTGTTAAATGACAACAAAAAGAGAATAGGACGCAATTGTGTGGGTTTTTTTTGCTATTTTTTTTCATTGTCATAACAACGCATAATATCTTTGATTAAATATCGTCGAATTTATAGTAGCTATTTAATATGGTGCTGGTAAATTACTAGACGTTAAAGTAATAGGCCTTTTAAATATTACATACACACACCCACCCACATATATATATATACATATATATATGTATATATATATATATACATATATATATATGTATGTATGTATATATATATATATAATAGGCCTATTGAATAATATATATGAACATGTAGAATCTTAATTTTTATTATCTATGTATATAAATAATATTATTATTAAAGAATCTCTTTTGAGATCCAGTGGGCCGGAGATTGCATCTTCAGATCTCCGATCTTGTTCACAAATTCACGGACTAGCGCTGTCTTTAAGAATTTTGTAGGACGCGTTAAGAATGACAAAATATTCTCTGCTGTATGTACTGGAACCGAGCCGCATAGCTTGTGTTGTTGCACTATTTGAATTCACACCTGGGCTGTGTATGTATATTGCCTTGGTTTGGCTCTGCAATCATTAGTGGTTTGACTAATCTGGGTTCTGCATAAACTGGTCAAACGTTTTGTCTAGGTCTGTACCCTAGCTGCACTGATGAGGCCTGGAAGCCAGTGTATGCTTAGTTTATTTTGTCATTCTGATCGGATTTTCTCTACTGTTCCGTTTTAATTTTATATTGTTTTGCATTATGTGGCCGTTTGCTGTTATACATATATATATATGTGTGTGTATATACATATAGGCCTACGTGTATATATATACATATATGTGTATATATATAATAGGCCTTTTTTTACATATATATATAGTATATATATATAGGCCTATATATAGTATATATACATATATATATATATATATATA